ATTTGAAATAGCTTTTCTTAGCTACCAAGTGCATTTATTGCACCTGTGATTACTGAAGTAATTGACAAGGTCTATTTTTCCAACATAAGACCGAAAATGAAACATTTATTTTGACACACTGGGCTACTGCCATCTGTGCTCTAGCATCAAAACATTTTTCTAATGTTCTATTTCAGCTGTTCCAGTTGGCCTCCAAAGAGCTTAAAATCTGGCAAAAAATAGCACCAATGTTTAACTGTGCACAGAAGGTATTATTTATATGTCAGTAGCACATTGTTCGCTTTCTAGGTCTTTAACAGCTGTATATAATGACATGATCCTTTACACACACCAGTTTTCATGGTATATGTCACTTGGCTATTAAGTACAAAGCTGAGGGTCAGCAAATCATTTTGTATTTTCCTCATGTATATAAATACGGTACACACTCCCTGAGTAGAAACCCAGTGAAAGTCAGATAGCATGTTATTTCTTTGAAAGTAATGATGCATTTTTCTGGCATTTGCAGGGAAAAAAATATATATATTTCTGTTAATCTGAGCCTGTTCTTCAAAGGTTGGTTTCAGAATTCCATTTAAATGTTTTTGTAGATATGTAGTATGTAACACCAGAAATACTATCCCCACAGGCAAGAGCCAGGGCTTGGCTCTCGACCTATTTTTGAGAGAGACAATAAGATTATTGCATTGAGGTGCAGCTGATATTGGTGCCCAAGGGCACCCCTAAGCTTCAGTGCAGCCTCTGTGAGGGAAGGTCACCTTACTTCTCTGTCTGTAAGCTGTGAGGCAAACAGAAAAGTCAGTAGGGTAAAAAGCCTCATAGAGACATGTATTCTGTAGTGCAAAGTTGTCCTGAATACACTGATTCTAATCTTTAATATAAAATGATGTTGGATGCAAGGATTTTTTTTCCTAAATTCTGAAATTAATTGTAGCAGTAAGTAAAGAAATACACAATTATTTGGGCTAACCATTAGAATAATGTCAGGAACTTGTGGCTCTGAGCAGCCTGGTTTAGTGGTTGGCAACCCTGCCCACAGCAGAGGGGGTTGAAACTAGATCTTTGAGGTCCTTTTCAACCCATTCTAAGAAGTGGTGGCAAAGTGGAAGTAATATAACACACTAGAGACTTTTTCTCCCCCTCAAATGTAGATAAACTCTTCCAGTTCCTAAGCAGCACATTCCAGATGTTGCTTTTGCCATAAAGCTAAGGATGCACGTCAATCTATAGACACACTGCTTGGGAGCTGCAGAAATAAATGTCTTCTGGCAGATTTTTAGGCAAAATGAACACATCATTCTCCAGACAAACTGTGAAAGTTTATCCTCTGTAGTTGATGCTGAAATGAAAAACATTGTGGAAGTAAATGTCTTTTGATTCAAGCTCATCTTGTTCCATTTGGACAACAGCTTGAGGGGGAAAAAATGATTTGCAGCAATTTCTGAGAAGCCCAGCTACTATATCTTCCATTAGCTGCTGCCCTATGCAAGCTAGCAAGAGCTCAGTACCCTCTTGCTCTCAATGTCCAATGGACCAGCATCTATTTGCAGTTAAAAGAAAATTATTCAAAGGAAATTATTCTCCTCAAAAATAATGAGGAGAATATTCTCAATTTTTAAACACTTGAGAAACTATTATTATGTACAACATTGAATTTGTATGATTTGGTGATGAGGTTTGGGTCAAAATAGCAGCACTTAGAATCAAAGTAAGGATGCATAGTTTAGCTGGAATATAAAAGCCATAACTGTGAAAGCCATAACAGACTGAGGAGCCCCAGGTTTTGAATGTAGTCTGAAGTCGAATTCTATTTCTCTGCCTATTCTCCTCTCTTGTCACAGTTGTGACATATATGTACATCTCTGTAGTTACATAGCACATATGACCTTTTTTTCCACAGCATCATTCAGGCATCTTGGGGTTAACATAAGTGAGCAAAGAGGGCTATTTCTGAGATTGTGGGGTGTTCACTTTGATCATCCGTAGATGAATCAGCATATTGTCATCTCCGTAGGTCTAGATGTAAGGCAGGTGTAATATCCAGCCCCATGCAAGTCACAATGGCAATGAAGGCCCTTTATCTAAGCAGTGTGAAAGCACATTCAGTCAGGAATCAGATGTAGGCTCAGAAGCAGTCAAGCAAGAACAGCTCAGCTAAAGCTCTGGGGAAGAAAAGAAAATTCTGGCCTGAAATCCTGTGAAATATAAATAACAAGACCAGTTTGTGTTGCATAAGCATATGCTGAATGACGTGGAAAAAATAATAACCTATAAAACCAGGAGTCTCTATTTCCCCAAAGGTAAAGCCACACGTGGCAGTTTAAACCTTTTCTTGTCCCATTCTGCTCTGTCTGCAATCACCATCTTCGCTGATAAATACTCATTGCATCACTGTCATCACAGAAAGATTCATGGGCACTATAGATGTATTTGTTTAGTCAGTAGCTTCAGTGTTTTCCTTTTTCAGTAGACCTCATCTGACATTACAAATGCAAAAGCTAAAGGTTCACTTGAGACTGTGGGGCAATGCAAATTTTACAGATGAGGTCAGGTATTATCTATAAAACTTAATTGTTAATGCTTTTTTTCAAGTACCGCAGGGTAGTTGGTGCACATTAAAAGAGATTTCCACAGATACCTGTGGACTTTGCATGCCAATCCTTAGATATTTTTTCAGTGGAAAATGATATTTAACAGCTCCAGTTGTAATGGAGTTCCCTGCAGTGCTGGTTGACCTACAACCAGTGGTCAGATTAATATCTCAAGGGCAGAATTTTCTTTGGTGGAAACATGGTGTTTTAACAGCATGGATAAAATGCGATATAGTGGGATAATGCATGGAGAAAAAGCTCACTTTATTTTAAAATAAAATCAGTGTACTAAGTAGGATACTAAAGGAACTCCTAACTTGAAAAATTAACTATGGTACATGTTAGAAAATGTGAAAAAATTGGAAGATCAGACTATAAGGAGTAAGGATAGTGATCTGTTTTGCTCATCAAAGGCTTACATCGCCTGATAACTCTTGCTCTTACTCTGTGAAAAGTCCTTGTGTATCTCCATCTTAAACCATTTAAATTCATTGTATTAAACCATATGTTATGAAATCTTTTTGTATTTGTATCTTTTTTGTATTTTGTGTATTTGAACAGTTCACTGCATCTAAAAGTACAACTTTGTTTATTATTATAATACGTTGAAACTGTTGATGGCTCAGCAAAGCAATGTTGGCAGATGCGAACTGCCTATCCAGAGAAGATCTGTGTGATGCTATCTGCCCAAACTGGGCTACACCAGCATAGGACACCTAAAATATATATAAAGCGAGAGGGAGATGGACAAGTAAATGATAGTCCGCATGGATATTTTTAAACTTTTCATAAAAATAGACAGAACTGAGAGCATATCTGGAGAGCGACCAATTGCAAATAACCCGGCACACACACATGCATAATTAATGGGATTCAAGAAGCAGTAATGATCATTCTTTTAACACAGCATCAGTCTGCCTAAAGAGGTGAACACATCAGTAAAACGCAGCATGAAACTTTTAAAAATCTTTGGCTAGTTTGGCTTTAGGGAGCTTGTCAGATTATTAACTTTACTTTAACCTAATTTTAATTTTGTTTAATGTGATTTCTTTTCCATGAAGCTCTTTGAAGGAATGTTGTTTATGCAAATAAACTACAAGGAAAATTGGTTTTATAACTAAATGACAGTTGACAGACTAGACTGTAATAGCCAATTGGGAACTTCTAAAGCATGATTTGTTTACTCAGTAGTACAAATTGCGTAGCTCTGATTATTAGGGACAGTAAATATCTTAATAGTGGTTATTTTAATTAACAGAGTCCTTCGGCTGGATCTCAGTCCCTGCTAAGATTGTTTTGTGCTGCTCCAGTGGCAGCAAAAATAGCCTCAATCCTTATTTCAGTACTTGCCCTATTTAGTAGTACAGAGGAGCTGGGATAATGAAGGTCAGATTTGTCCCATTCATTTCCTACCAAAATAATGCTTCTTGCTTGACTGTTTGCACAAAGAATAAATCCTTCAATTTTTATCCTCACTGTCAGCTGTAACTTTTCTTTTTGCCTTCATCTGACTCCATAGTTCTTTCACTCTGCCTACGATGCAAGCTCTTTTTGAAATCCCTCTTCTCTCAAATCTTAAATTCTACTTCAGTGTCAGATCTTTGGATTGGTTTTTTTGTTTTTTTTTTTTTAGAATTTGTGCTTCATTTGAATTTCAATTTGAATTTCTGTCAGACAAGCTAAATCAAACCAAAACTCTATAGCTGCTACACCTGAAAGTAATATAGCAACCTTCTCTTATTTTTGTATGTACAAATATGGATGCTGTGTAGGGAGAAAGCTATTGCACTATTGCTATTTTCCTGCAAATGCAAGATTTTGCCTGCTGACAATTCCAAGTAGCAGAAAATGAAATTGTGCAGCACAGTCTCTGCAGTAGTCCTTGGCCTTCCTGCTTAGCTCCACTTCTATCTTGTACCATCATTCTATAATTCTTGGGTTAATTAAATTAGTTAACAAGTAGCTAAAGAGGCATAAATGTTGTCAGTGGCTTGCTGTAACACTCTGAAATGAATATTCCAGGTATTTTCCAAGTGGATCCACTGTGAGAATTGTGGCTGAGGAAGAGCTGTCACTGATGCACATATAATCAACTTAATTTCTGAAAGACTGGTATTCCAAAATACGGCTTTATTAAGCAACCTATAGTTTCTTGTTTCTTGAAGAAAAGTTGGGGAACAGTCAGGTTTCTGGTTCTTCCTTTGTTCTAACACACATCAACCCAAACCCACAACTTCTATGCAGCAGAGGATGAAGAGAGATGAATTCCAGCAACCTTGGAATGCCTCATCAGGTGAATTAGGTGGGGACAGGGAGGGGACAGCCACCAGCACCCTCCTCATAAGTTAGCTTAGGATCAATTGAAGAGTTTAAAAACAATTCTTAAATTTCAGGATATACTCTTTCCCTCCTTTTTGCAATTTCTACAGGTCTCTCATTGGGATGGGACTGAATATTTACCTTCTGGTACATTTTACTCCATTTCCAGCTGCTCAGCATGTCCCAGACAATGATGCAGAAAGTCAGTGATGGTAATGCAAGGAGTGATTTGAGGAATCTGAAGAGAGGACAGAAAGCTGATGATAACTATTAGGTGAGCAATGCCATGAATGAACTATCTCTGGCTTAGTTATGAAATCATATGGGGTGGCTGAGAAGCAATAGCAATGTTAGAGTGGGAATGAAAATCATCTGGACAACAAAAGAGGAAGCTGAATTATGGTGCAGGATGTCAAGTCAGCTATAATTAGGGTAATCCAGTTGAGGTAGAATAATAATGATAGGGTGCAACATAAATAGAAAGAGTACACATTGTTCAGGAAAGCTAGAAGCAAAAGGCAGAGTAGTGAAAGAGTATTATATATTCATAATGTGCTAAGCTGAAAAAAAAAATGATAACATAGTGAAATGGATAAGTTTGAGGAAAAAACAATTTAAGGAAGGATTGCAGAAATGTTTGGATAATGTTGGATGTCTATTTCAATCCCCTAGAGTTTAATTTGTGCTGGATAAAGATCTGCATGATGTTATTGGAAAGAGAAATATTAGCACTAGGGGAGATTTACTACATTTATGGGAAATTTTGACCTTCTAGAAGCAGGTTTTAAACAAATACTACTAATAATGGCAGAAAGTAGGAATTGCTGGCTATGGTAAGTAGCAGATTTTTCTCTGAACAAAGGAGATAAAGGAAAGTCTAAGAAATTAAGCAGTAGTTATGCATTTTGAATTAAATATTTGAAAACATTACATCCCTGGGACATCTGTAAGTTGCTGCTGAAGCAGAGGAGAAAAAAAGTAAAAATGTGCTCAGTCATATCAGGTGAGGTAAAAAAAATTGGGCATTAATTAAAATCTATCTGCAATACAACATGCCATTCTGGTTATCTATAATAAATAAATTTTTAAAATAGACATTCTGATAGCTTGTTTAATGTTAGAGCTGTTTTATTATTTGAGCTGAAGAGTACAGATGGACAAATATACAAAACCACTTGAAGGCAGAAGAAAGTTTGATTAAAAAATGATCTTGGCTTGGTTAGACAAAATAAATCAAGGCTGGAGGGGGTAGTAACACAAGGGAAAGAGAAGAATTATTGCAGCATAAATGATAAGGTTGGCACAAAACCAACTGGACCAACACCAGTACAAGTAAAGGATAAAAGATTCTTAATCACTAGAAGATTTAATTTCTCAGCAAAATCCCCTATATAGACACACCAAGATAAAGATACAGAACACAGTGAAGATGTAAAACTGTGATTTCGTAATTAAGATGGTGACTTAGGTGACCTTGGCATCCAGGAGAAATGAGGTGATTTTGATTCTTGGCACTGACTAAAAATTGAGCCATATTATCTCAGTATTTTACATACTTCTATAGGAAAACATGATTTCCAATTTGGATGTGAAGTATCCATTTTTGTATTCCCTAATCCTGCATATCTTGTCAGCAATTTGGGTTGTGGCTGCACTGTGCCACAATATATGAGCTTACAGTAACTAGCTTTTGGCTAAAAAAATTTTGGAAATACTTTCGAATGCATTTAGAAGAAAAATGGAAAATGATGAAAAATTATTTGAATAAAAATAGAATTTCCCAAATGAAATGGTCTTTTATCTATATGGTGTTACCATGGAGACGTGATATCTTATTGAGTGCAAAAAGGAATATTTGGTTAGATGGATGTGTACTCCCATAGTCATATAATAAAAGGAAGTTAAAATGGTTATGCTTATTTCTGTAATGTTTCTAAGGAAATAATTGTAAAAGAAGAACGCTGTTATTTAATTGCTGTTATTTCCTTTTGAAGTTTGATAAATGGAAGATGAACAGAAGTAATTTTCACTGGTTTTAGACCTACTGCTTCTGTCTGCCGATTCAAGTGGACATCTCTGAATCACTTTGTTAAATTAATAAAGTACCTTTTCTCCCGGAAGTAGACATCAGTATTTTCCAGTAAAAGCCAAATTACTCTGGCAAAATTATCTGGCAGTCTGCAAAAACTGGAAATGAAATGGCCAAGTATATGAATGTATAATGGTCTTAACATGAAGAGCATGAGCCATCAAACCTTGAAGATCCATGAAGCATCCTTGCTCTTGTCACATAAACAATACAATACAAAAAATAACTTGCACTATGAGAAGGTTTACAAAACTATTGCCTTTTTATAATCACGCTAAACCTTAATGACCTGTCTGTTGGAAATCTACTTGCAGAAAATTTGCTGCAAATGTATGACGTGATAGAATAAAACATCTCAGCTATTCGCTTAAGCTATTTCTAGAGACAGGGAAAACAACTTGAGCACCAGAACAATCAGTCGGCTCTTTCCTAGCACTCAGCTGGTCTCATCTTATCCAAATGCAAATTCTTTGTTATGTAAGGCAGTTCCATGTTGTTAGTACCAGATGTCTCCATGCAGAGCTCAGGAATGACGGATGGCCTTGGAATATGCTATAGCCCATCACCCCTATAGCACTACAGAAACTTCTCAACAGTTCTAATCCAGCAATCATCTTACTGTTGAAACTCAGAGCAAAATGCATCAGCTTAAGCTGCCTGGGCTCTCTCAGCATCACTTTGCAGAAGGCAAGCACTTAGGCACATTTGGAAAGCTAAGTTAAGTTAGTGAGTTAATGGATAGACAGCAACTATGCCCCCTTAGAGAGCAAATTGACAATTAAAACTGCCCACCCACAGCTGAAACTATTTTGCTGCATGCTTCTAATGCATTAAGTGGAGTCAGAACATGTGACCTTAAGGTTGTACCTCAGTGGCTTATAAAACCTTGGCTGGGTGTTCCATTGGCTTGCAATGAAGCAGAAGAAATGGTTTTGTAATGTGTGGGAACTGAAGTTCTTACTCTGCCATTTGCTGGGAATTTATTTGCTAAAAAGAAATTTGATGCAGGCTTTTCTGATAGCAAACAAAAAGATATGTCTCACTTAAGTTTCCCCAGATGAATTGTAAAATATAACTTAATGTGCACATGCATCTGTTCTGTGGAAACTAGAGACAAGAGGAAAATTATGTGAGTGTTTTAAAGGTTCTTTAGTAATGATGGACACAATTGTATTTTGTTAATGTAAGCTTGAAATTATAAAGAGGAAGAAGAGTGGTAGACTTTCTGTCCTTCCTGTTCTCCTTCCTTTCTTATTTTATATTTAGCTTAACAGGCTGATGCTATGGGAGATATTTTTTTCTTGTGTTGACCCTGAGATGTAGATTTGTTTGTATTTATTTGTCTCCTAGAGCTGAATTCAGAATTACAGAAGCAGTTCTGGCAGAATCTGTTTTTCTGGTTGCTTTAAACTATTAAGACCACTATAATAATACTGCAGTTTACAGAAATGATGCAAAGAGACAATTGACCTTTGTTTTCTGCCCTTAGATACCTGACCTGCTTTAGGATTACAAGAGCCCATGTTCCTGTTACATGACAGAGGTCAGAATTTACTGGCATTAGTAGTAGCTGCTACAGAGAGCAATGCACTGAGGTTTGCAATGTGATGAGCAGAATATGGAAAAATTTTTCTGTTTTGTGGAGGTGGAGGGTGAATACTGGCTTCTGTTTTTCCTTTTGCTACCCAGCCAAGATTCCTTCAGTCTGTCACCAATACAGCTTTTTGTTGACTGTGCTGTCTCTCAGGCATGGAAATGCCATTTCTGCTTTCATCCTTGTTTTCCTGGCAATATGGTGAAAGGAAGAAAGAAGCTCTTTAATATTAAAGAGAACTGTGCTGTAGCACTTAATGAGGACAGAACTGGACGTTTTGTCTGCATAAAGGCTAATGTAGCTGCTAGTAATGCACAGGTATAGTTAAGCCTACATATTTTGGCATGTTAGTGTTGGCACTGAAGGCTAATTAGTCTGTTGTGAGATAATGAAAGGTCACATGGATGGCGAGGCAAAGGGAGCATGAAGTCTGAAGTGGAGGTTTCAGCACACTGTCTGAACAAAGTGTGCTGACAGAGACAGGTATGGTAACCAAGCGGTTGGGTCATCTGGGGCTTGAATTTCATAAACTTCTGCACTGCAAGAAACACCTCTGCATACAGGGAAAACCTCATTCCAAATGCTATCTGTTCCTTCTGTTACTCTTAATCTTGCTAAATCCCAGCCCAGAAGCAGACTGCACAAATCTGGTTTGGATGATAGAATAATTTTAACAATTAAAATTGAGCCTCTCATCTACTGGATTTTAAAGATGTTTTTTTGACCGTAGTAAAGAGCTCTTCATCATATCCTTTCCCTTGTCTTTCCCCAACACACATTCATAGTTCTGAGAGCTGTCACTATACCTGTGGTTGTCAGTGCTGAGGGGCTAGAGGGAGAGTAGAGAAATGCGTTTATATTGCCAAAAATAAAAGGTTGTTGTGATCATAACTTTAGTCTGAAAGTCATTCTCCCTCAAACATCTAACAATATAACCTGAACAAGGAAGAAAACATCTTGGTCATTATATGGGACAAAGAGAACATATTTCTTCTTTAAAATGATAACACAAAAAAAAAAAAGGGGGAGGAAAAATAAGCTTCACGTAGTATTTTAAGTAGAGCTTCTCAATTTTTTTTTTCCTCAAAGGATTTCTTTCACAGTATAAAACTTAGGAGAAAATAGATATTTTTCCCAACAAATAATGTGGGTGGATTAAACCTGGGAAACATTCTATTTTCATTGTTAGAAATGAGTGTGTGTAGGGGGGGGAAATAGCCTTAAGTTCTTGAGAGGTAGATCTTAAAAACAAGTTTTTCAAGGACATAAGAAAAAACACATTACAGCTACAGGTTGAAATCTGTAACAGTACAATTAGCTTTTGGGAACATGAAAGCTGTCTTGCATTGAGGAAGCTAATACATATGTAAGCTGAAGGTATTCTGATAGCTTGATGTTTTCAGACTAAATTTAATATATCATGGCTACATACAATACAGTTGTATATCAAACCAATTCCAATGAGAACTGTTGTGCTGAATACCTCTGAAAATTCAGCTCTGGTTGCCTTTTGAGAAAAGGACCTGTCCTACTGGCTTATTTTTACCTGAAGAGAGCATTGCTTCCTTCAGGATGTCAGGTATTGTGTGAA